GGGTCAGGGGTGGGAAGGGATGGTTCAGCCCCAACTTCCCAGTATGGAGGCTGAGCAAAGACAACCTGAACCCTGGAGCCAAGCAGACCTGGGTTTGAATCCAGCCTCAGCCACTACCTTGTTCTGTGACCTTGGTAAAGTCTCTTACCCTTGCTGGACCTCAGTTTTCTCATCTATTGAAGCAAAGAGTGTGAACTAGAGCTGTGGTTCCAACTCACAGTTCCTTAGAGGGGCTGGGAGAAGCCAAGCGGGGGTAGGATGGGGGAAACCAAGAAAAGACCTCTCCCCCCTATGCCCACACCCACTCACAGCTTCACTCAGAGCAGCTCTGCTTCTCTCTGTTTCCCATGTTGGTCATCTGTGGTTAAGAGTTTGATAACCACTTAGACTAGTTCATATCTAAGTTCTTCTTAGCCCTTAACATTGTTTTTCTTTTTGTCCTTTTTGAGACCGGCCGCACCGCACTCGGTCAGTGAGAGCTGTGAGCGCACTGATCATCCCTATATAGGATCCGAACCCGCGGCGGGAGCGCTGCAGTGCTCCCAGCGCCACACCCTCCCGAGTGCGCCACGGGCTCGGCCCAACATTTTTTTTTTTTTTTATAGATGACCGGTAAGGGGATCTTAACCCTTGAATTGGTGTTGTCAGCACCACGCTCTCCCAAGTGAGCCACAGGCCAGCCCTTAGCCCTTAACATTTTAAGACTCAGTTCATGTCTTACCTGACCTCCAGATTGTGAGTTAGGAAAGGGCTGGGACTGGGGCTGAGTCTTCTCTCTGTCTCCCAACCCTCACCCTACAGTACCCAGCACAGGCCTAGCTGCAAGAGGAGGGGCTCAAGATGTGTCCATCTGGTCTGACTACACATGGACAACGGCAGACTGACAGCACTGCAGGGACTCAGACAACAATTCTGTACTGACCAAAGACCTCTGGGGGCCAAGCACAGTGCTGGCACTGCCTGGGGAGGCAAGGGCAGGCAGGGAAGTCTTCCTGGGGCTTGTGAGGTTGGATCTCCAAACCTGGAAGGCAAAGGAGGATTTGACTGGATGGAACCAAGGATCCCTGAGCAGTCCAGGCTGGAGTGGCCCAGCTCTTAGGATGTGGCCACAAAGAAGGTGCCGTGAGTCTGGATTCAGTCCAGGTAGGAAGCTCTAGAAGATCTGGGTGAAAGGCCTGCCTGGGTAGGTGGGTGGGAGACATGGACCCAGATTCTGCTCTTGCACAAAATCCCCAAATCTCCTGTAGGGGACCTCAGACTTGACTCTGCCAGGCCTGGGGTGGCCTCATACTTGCTCAGGCCATAGGAAGGACCATAGCCTTGTGTTAACAAGGTCATGTGTTTCCATACAGTTTGGAAAAGTAAAATATGTTACCCTCAATTGGGTAAGACCACTGTCTCCTTCCATTCTGACTTTCCCTCCTTCCGACATGTGTCCTCTGGCCTCGAGTGGCTATAGGCATTTTGTATTCTTTTTTTTTTTTTTTTTTTTTTTTTTTTTTCCGGGTCCAGCAACGGATCGCAACCCTCAGTGTTGCCCCCGTACCGGACCGGGGACCAGCAACGGGATTGCAACCCTCGGTGTTGCTCCCGTGCCTCGCTCAGCCAGTGAGTGGGAACCGGTCTGTATGTGGGATCCGAACCCTTGCGCGGGAGCGCCATTGCACTTCCCAAGCGGCGCACTATCCAGCACGCCACCGGGCCGGCCGGCATTTTGTATTCTTAACTTTGCATTCTTTTTCTTTCTTTTTGTCTTTTTTTACTGACCGGTAATGGGATCGCAACCCTCGGTGTTGCGCCCGCACCGCGCTCAGCCAGTGAGCGGGAACCGGTCTCCACATGGGATCCGAACCCTCAGCGGGAGCACCGGCGCACTCTCCAGTGTGCCACCTGGCCAGCCCATGCATTCTTTTACTTAAAGAGGCCCCCAAACAAGCTTCAGGCCCGACAATCCTGGTTCTGCCCACCGGGTCCTTGGTTTTCCCAACTGCAAAAAAGAGAATAGAATAAAGGATATGAAAGATCTTCATAAGTTTTTTGGGTTTTTTTTGGCAGCTGGTTGGTACAGGGATCGAACCCTGGACGTTGGTGTTATCAGCACCACACTCTAACCAACTGAGCTAACTGGGCAGCCTCTCATCATAAGATGGTCTCTTTTAATCCTCTCAAAGACACTAAGAGAAGAGGTGAGAAGCAAAGGTAACTTGGGATCTCACAGCAAATTGTGATGAGCTGTGAGCTTCCAATCCAGGGCAATCCCAGTTGAAAGTCCACCCCTTCACTCCAACCCCCTGCCTTGAAGCCCCCACCTGTGCACTTAAGGTCCCCCCACCCCTTTCCTAGGCTCTCAGCCCTCTGCACCTCTGCCCCAGTGGCTTCTATGACCTCGAGGTGGCGGCAGACACCATCTTTCCCTCTCCCTGGTGCCTGCTCCTCCCAGGTTCCAGAGCCCCATGTAGCCAGAATCTCAGCTGTCCCCAGACACCTCTGTCAGCTCTTTCCTGCCCTCCCAGCACATAGGGAATGCTGCCTTCGAGTCCTGGCCTTGGCATTTACTGGCTGTGTGATAGTGAGCAGATCACTTCACCTCTCTCTGCCTCATTTTTCCCATCTATAAAATAGGGGTGTCTCATGGGAACAGGTTAGTGAAGCACTTGGTAGATATATAATAAGCTGACCATCATTGGCAGCTATTGCTCTTTCAACAAGGGTTTCTGGCGATGGTGCCTCCCCAGGGAAGGGGGTCCCCTGGCAGGATTGGCCCCTACACCACACTGCAGCACCCAGAGGAACTCCTGGGCAGTAGGACCTTTCACAGCCCTTAGATTCTCATTGGTGGGCACCCTCTGTGTCCGTGCACTGGTCCCTCCCTGAACTGGGGTATGTGACTTGGCTTTTTCTCCATCTCTACCACCCCCCATCCACCCTTGGAAGGGCTCTGCAGCTTTCTGCCCACCTGGATGCCACCCTGGGGATCTGCCCCAGGCTTCATATGGATCCTCCTGGGGAGAGTCCTTGACCCATTGCCCAGCAATTCTGACTCTCCCTCCCCCACCCCCTCAAATGATGCTGCACCCCAGCTAGAACATGGCTGTCTCTACCTCAAAGACTCACTGACTGCTAAGCTGTGCGGTGCTGACTCTGCAGACACGCAGAGTACATGAGCTGTGTGGCAATGGTGGTCTCTATCTAGATTTCAAAGGATGAATCAGGCAGCCTGGGGGTCCAGGGGCAGAGCTACCACAGAGAGCCTCCATGAGGACCATGCCTAGTGGAGCTATGAGACTGGGGCAGTCACCAAGACCCCAGAACTATAGAGCCACCAGCCTGGGAGAGCTGCAGACTTGAGACTCCAACCCAAGAGGGCTGAAGTGTGGGCTAAGTCCAGCGAAGCCATAGGGACAGGGATCCCTGGGGTCTTGGGGGCCCAACTCCCAACCCAATGTGCCCAGGATGCAGGACTTGGAGTCAAGGAAGATGGTTTTGGAGGCTCAAGACTTAACGGTATTTTCCCTATTGGGTTTTGGACTTACTTGGGGCCTGTGACTCCTTTTTCTTGCCTCCTTCTCCCTTTGGTATGGGAGTGTCTGTCCTATGCTGGTCCCACCATTGCATTTTGGAAGTAGCTAACTTGTTCTGATTTTACAGGCTCAAGGACTTTGCCTTGAGTCTCAGATGACACTTTGGACTTTGGACTTTTGAGTTTTGGTGCTAGAATGAGTTGAGACTTTTGGGAGTATTGGATGGAATGACTGTATTTTACACTGTGAGAAGGACATGAATTTGGAGGACTGGGGGCAGAATGCTATGGTTTGAATATTTCCCCCCCAAATTCATGTGTTGGAGGCTTAATCCTCATTGTAACAGTATTAGAAGGCAGGGCCTTTGGGAGATAATTAGGATTAGATAAGGTTATCGGGATGGGGCCCCCACGATGGGGCTCGTGGCTTTATAAGAAGAGAAAGAGAGACCTGAGGTGACACGCTCTTGCCCTGTCACTGTGTGATGCCCCCCACCAGGTTATGATGTAGCAGTAAGGCCCTCGCCAGAAGCTGAGCACATGGCCTTGGACTTCCCAGCACCCAGAACCGTAAGAAATAAATTTATTTTCTTTATAAACTACCCAGTCTCAGGTATTCTTTTTTTTTTTTTTATCTTGGTGTAGAACATTTATTTATTTTTTCCATGAAACACTCAAACTTTAGGTCAGTGGGAAATAATTTTAATCAAAGAATTGTACATTTTCTTCCCACATATCCTGCCTTGTATTAGGAAATAACATTGTGATCCATTTCATAAGTAAAATATTATAAATCTGAGCACCAGAAAAAGGATATTCGGTTTGTTATGGATCGTTTCTCTTTATTTCCCAGCACTGACAAAAAGCATACTAAATCACCGCTCTGTGGGGCTAGGCACATACGAACATGAGAAGAATTCTTAAATGGTTCCATTATAAGCTGAAAATGGAATATAAAGCAGAATGCTTTAAGGACCCCCCAGAAACTCATTTAGATATATACAAGGACCACTGAGAATGACATAAGATACATGATTTTGCTTTGTGCCAATCAGAAAAGGATTAGCTTAACTGAAGAAAACTTAATTGGCTGACTGTAAAATGAAGGACTAAATTTATGAAATGCCAAGAAGTAAATAAACTTGTTATACTTTTAAGCTGAACACCTGCTGAATAGACGGATCACATTTGTTTCTCTAGAAGAACTACAACTATAAAAACTAAAGATTATGCTGACATTCAACAATTCTTAACCTAAGAAGAACATGAGATAGTATTAACTGTGTCCTAGTCCCATCTGCTACCGATTTAGAACTGGGTCAACCTGTCATATTAAAAAGTAACACTTTTTACTGAGAAAAGTAAAGCCCCAGTTACATGTTCAAGTTTCTGCGTACTAAATAAGAACTCTGAGAAAGTAAGAGCTTTGGAGAAAAACAGGTGGCTGAAGAACTGCAGTGCTTTAGGAATGAGCTGCAAACAATGCTTCATAAATGAACACGTTTGACTTCTCCTTTGAGACTCCTCAATAGCTTAGAGAATTCCACTAGGAAGAATGAGAAAACATCAATAGTAATGATGCATGATGTTTTAAAAAATGACTTCATTCTAACCTCATGTAAACTTAAATATTTATTCACATCATTTAAGTACTTACCTGGAGGTGGTCCAGGAGGAAGGCCTGTAGGTGGTCCAGGAGGCCGTAAAGGTGGAGCAGGTGGTGGTCCAAGAGGAGGTGGTCCAGGCATGGGAGGTGCTTGTATCTGAGAAGGAGGAACAGACTGTGGGGGTGCCTGCTGCTGTGAAGCAGCAGTAGATGTGCCATCAGAATGAGATTCTTCTTTATGCTGTTTTTGTGACTGCTTTTCTGCTTCAGAATCATCAGAATCATCATCATCATCATCCTCTGAAAATTCCTCTACTTCCCGTCCCTCCTCAGGGATTTCCTGACCTGCCATACGAAGCATCATGGCTTGAAGAGGAGTCAGCTCTTTCATGTTCTTCTTTTTCTTCCTTGATTTTCCAGGCATATCTGCGAATCGTACACTCAAACCTGATTTTTTTTCCTCATTGTTCTCTCTCTCATTATCATCACGGTGCACAAATTCATCCCCCTCACTTTCTCCATCTGATCGGTCGGTGTCACTGTCATCAGTACTGTCATCATGCTTATCTTGATCCATGTCCTCAGGATAGCTATCATCTTCACTGGTGCTGGAAACATCATCATCATGACCCCGTTGAGCAAGTTCAGGACTATATAACATGTCTTCATCTCGCCTACGAGGAGGAAGATCTAGGGCTAAGCCCACTTTACGGCCATACATCTGCAGGACTTGAGGAGGAGGTGGCCCAGGGGGAGGGCCAGGAGGTTTTCTGTCAGGGGGCAAACGTGGAACACCATGTCCAAGAAGAGGAAGTATAGAAACTGCTCGAGTCGGAGGACCTTAGGCTGAGGTTTTCTTAAGGATGGAGGGTGGCTGGGCACCAGGAAGTGGAATGTCCTGGATTAAGATGTTGGAAGGAGCATGCGGCATATCTGGCAAAGGAATACTCTCCACTTCCACATGCTGAGCATTCTTGACAGCATCAAAATATTGGCTAAGTTGAGCCCTCTTCTGTTCATATTCTACTTCTAGCTTTCTCAATTCTTTGTAAATATCTGGATTCTCTTTTTCATACAGTCGTAGAATACGTTCAAAGGTTTCACGCAGCTTTTTACGTTTGTCTTTCAGTACTTTTTCATTTAACTGTGGCTGTTGCACTGGGTTAAACTCCATTTCATCCAATTTTTCCATATCCCGGATAATCTGTTTGGGGTCCTTCATCTTCAAAACTGCAGCTCGTACCATCATGCGCTGTTTCTTGTTCTTCTTTAATTCTCTCTTCCGGGCTTCTTTTCGGGCTTGGTCTGTGGGGTTCATGAATTTTCCACTCTTGGTGGATGATGTAGATCTTCGTCCCATGTTGATAATCTGTATGGTTTACTTGTTCATTAAGGAAAAACAAAAACAAAAACAAAAAACACTTCTGCTGGGCTCCCAAGATTGCGAGAAGCGGGGAAGGGACGATTCCCACTGGATTAAGATGTTGGAAGGAGCATGCGGCATATCTGGCAAAGGAATACTCTCCACTTCCACATGCTGAGCATTCTTGACAGCATCAAAATATTGGCTAAGTTGAGACCTCTTCTGTTCATATTCTACTTCTAGCTTTCTCAATTCTTTGTAAATATCTGGATTCTCTTTTTCATACAGTCGTAGAATACGTTCAAAGGTTTCACGCAGCTTTTTACGTTTGTCTTTCAGTACTTTTTCATTTAACTGTGGCTGTTGCACTGGGTTAAACTCCATTTCATCCAATTTTTCCATATCCCGGATAATCTGTTTGGGGTCCTTCATCTTCAAAACTGCAGCTCGTACCATCATGCGCTGTTTCTTGTTCTTCTTTAATTCTCTCTTCCGGGCTTCTTTTCGGGCTTGGTCTGTGGGGTTCATGAATTTTCCACTCTTGGTGGATGATGTAGATCTTCGTCCCATGTTGATAATCTGTATGGTTTACTTGTTCATTAAGGAAAAACAAAAACAAAAACAAAAAACACTTCTGCTGGGCTCCCAAGATTGCGAGAAGCGGGGAAGGGACGATTCCCAGCCTCTTTTACTTTGTAGGGGCCTTCACCTCTACCTTTCGGTCAACCACCAAGCCACCGCCATCTTGAAACCTCGTGCCCCTCGCCATCTTTACGTCACTTCCTATTCTCCCTGCCCGCCCCCTCCCCTGCCGACGATTGCTTAGCGTTGCTCTGTCCTCCAGTCTCAGGTATTCTGTTATAGCAATAGAAAAAGGACTAAGACATTGACCATCCCCAAATGTCTGTCTCTCTGTGTCTTAACTGGGCATTTGAGGCCTTCCACAACTTAGTCTCATGATTCAACTCTGTGCTTCAAATATAGCAGACCATTTTCTGTTCCCAGGGCACACCTTCACTATCCTACCTCCAAGCCTTTGTGCAGGCTGTTCTTCTGCCTGGACTATTCTCTCCTATTTCCATGTAGTGAATTTATCCTTAAAAGTCTAGCTGGAAGGTCACTTCCTCCAGGTAGTCTTCCCTGATCCCTCAGATGGAATCTCTTTCCTCTCTCTGGGCTCTGGGTACACAGTTGCTTTGGGGCCCTCCTTATAGGAGGCCATGAATCACAGCAGGAATGTCTGTTATGTATGGAGAGCGACTCACAGTTTACAAATGGCTTTCCCTTCTAGTGTCCTGGGGGTAGGAAAGGTGCGCAGGGTGAGAGCCATTACCTCATGTGACTGATGAGGAGACAGGCTAGGAAGAGGTCTTACGCCCTGTGTATGATGGAGTCAGGATTCAAATCTATAAGCGATTCCAGCCACACACCTTGCCTCAGACCTAAGCTTCCCCTCCCTTTCCACCAGTCCTTGTGGTCTGGTCTTGTGAGTCTCATCCTCCTTTAGACCAATGTGTTAGTCAGTTTTTAATAATGTCCTCAATAGAGTTCGATTGATGGAACAGATGCTCACATATACGTACATCTGCCCCCTGGCCCCCCACCCCGAACGCCCGTCTGTTACCCGGCCTCTTTATCACCCAACTCAAGCCCATTTGAAGCTGGTAGCAGTGCCCAGGATAAGGAGTTGGCTGGAGGAGGAAGGGGGACACAAACAGATTCCTTCCCTGCCCCACAAACTTATCAGTCCCCCACAGGCCCCAGGGAGCTGGGTGCTCAGCCTAGGGAGGAAAGCTACCCCCTGACTGTACCTTCACACCCTCTATTACTTAAGAGCTGTGTGACCTTGGGCTGTCACTTCAGCTCTGAGCCTCAGATGCTCTTCAGAACATTTTTGGCTGTAAGGATTCAATAAGATAAAATGAGAGAATGCATGTAAAATAATAGCGATCACTAAATGTGAATTGCCTCTTCAGGAGGTCACCTCTCACAGGGAGCATCTCAGGCAGCAAATTGCTCCCTACAGTCTGGGGAGGGAGGTGGAAAGTAAGACTTCACTGGCAGAGGCAGTGAGGCAGGGGACCTGAAGTCCTGACAGTGACAGCACCCACCCCACCCCACACACAGTGACTGACTTGACAAGGCCACATACATCCACACAAGAGCACAAGTCACAAGAAACACACACAGGTGCCTGGGTGGAGAGGCCTTGAGGGGAGGGCAGAGCTCTCTAGGTCCCTAGAGCCTGGGGGGTGGGGGTGGGGTACAACCTGTTTATAGGACACATAGAGAGACAGATACAGAATCACACCCTCTATATAAACTCACAATCATGTACCCTCCTCACACCAACACAAATACACAGAGACAGGAGACACACACAAGATCACAGACACATTCCCACACGTACTCCCCATGCACAGACTCAGAAACATAGAGCCCTCCCAGGCCATCCCAAACACACACACACATACACACACACACACACAGAAGCACACACACTTATCAGGCTGGGGCAGGCGTTGGCACTGCTGAGTCACCCACAGGCAGCTCAGCCCAGCAGAGCTGCTGCCATGCTCCGCCCCAACAGGGAAGGGAAGGGGCGGGGGCCTATGGCTGCTCTTAACATTAGCCCCGTCCACACCACTGTTGGGCTTTTCCTCTCCCCAGGCCTTTGATTGAATCAAAGATGGAGGCGAGGGAGCCACTGTTTGCAGAAGCCAAAACTAGGAGTTCATAGCCTGCTCTCTCTTGGGAGCATAAAGACATGTGGGAGCAATTAAAAAATAATACTAGATCCATTATTGAATATTTGCATGTATATTTTCATATACTCTCATGTAATCATCACAACAGCTCTATATAAAGTTATTACTATTATTAATCCCATTTCACCCCAGAGGTAAAGTGGCTTTCCCAAAGGCACAAAGCTGGTAAGTGCAGAGCCCAGACAAAACTGCCTCTAAATCCCAGTGGGCAATACTCCTGATCGGCAGGTGAGTAAGAAGGCTCGTGCAGGGAATGTCAATATGCTTGGGAGCCTGGTGCATGTGTTGTGCCAGGTTTCCCATGGAGTTCCCATGGCTAGGGACTGAAAGAGTCTCAAGTGTCCAGATTTCCAGTCAAAGGATCCAAAGCTTCTCTGGTTTCTTGGAGTATGCTCCCTTCTATCAGAAAACATTCCCCAGATATAGGGGCTCACTCTGACCCTCCTCTGTTAGACTACGGGCTCCTTGAAGGCAGGGACCAGGGCCCTGAAGTCTAAAACAGAACCTGACTCAGAGACAGCCTCAGTGATTTGGGGGGCAATAAATGAGTTTGTCTTTTAATTCACTTATGTATTGATGTAAAATAACATCAATAATCATAATAAATGCTAATACTTATTGGATGCTTATCCTGAGACTGGCACAGTTCTTAGCATTTTACACAGATTAGTTCATTTAGTTCTTGCAACAACCCTTGAGAAAAATACTTTTATTAACCCCATCTTACAGAGGAGAAAACTGGCTTGGAGATAGTAGCTTGCCCAGAGTAAAACAGCTAGTAAGTGGCAGCACTGGGGTTGGGATACAGGCAGTCTAATTCCAGAGTGCATCTAAGAGGACGATCACTGAACTCACAGGAAGTCATTTGCCCTCAGTGGGCCTCAGTTTCCCCCATCTGTCCAAAGAAGGGATTAGCTCTCCATGGCTCTCCTGCCTGAAATGTTCTATGATCGTATGTTTCCGTGATTCCTCTACATGGAAGTGAGTTTGGCTTGTTCTCCGCCAGCAAAAGTCCTGAAGGGCAGATTTGGCTTTAATCTGAGGAAGAGCTTTTGAAGGCTCAGGATGGTTTTAAAATGAAAGAGGCCACCTGGGGAGGTGGTGAGCTTCCTGACATTTGCGGTATATGAGCCAGCACAGGTCTGAAATGAGATGCGGGGTGGGGGGTCTTGGACCACTGACTATGTAAGCCTCTTCCAGCATGATGGGATGGACCATCAGGAAGGGGAAAGTCACTAAGAAGAGTAGCAAGATGGGCACAAGAGGAACCAGAACCCACATTTACTGATCGCCTATTGTGCGCCAGACCCGTACTTGTCATTTAATACACATCACTAATTCTCAGGAAACATTGTAAGATTTATAGTTGAGGAAACTCAGATTCAGAGAAGTGACTTGCTCAAGGTCACACAGGACGAAGTCATGGATCAGGTGATCCACGTCTCCTCGGGGTCACTTTCCCAGATGCCCTGTTCCTACCTAGTGCCTTTAGGGGAAGCACCACGTGGCAAATTGCATCATACTTTTGCCAAACGACGTCAGAGACCTCACCAGCCAACCGCGGAACTCCCTCCCCTCCCTGCCCCTGACCCCTTGAGCACCAGGGGCTGCCCGGGTCTACGCTCCCCACCCCCAGGGCGCACCTGCAGCCCCCACCCCTTCCCGGTTGCGACGCTCGCACTCCTCTGCCTCGCCGCCCCGCCGATTGGCAGTTGCCGGCGCCAATCAGAGGGCCTCCCGGGCCGGGGGCGGGGCCTCCGTCAGAGTTGCTCTGTCAGTGCAGGTGGAGGCCCCCGGCGGGGCAAAGTGGCACGAACCTCTTAAAGGGCGAGAGCGGCGGACAGCGAGAACGCGGCCCGGCCCGGCCCGGCCAGGTCCCGCCCCGTCCAGCCCAGGTGAGCCTGGACCGCCTAAGGGGCGACCCTCGGTCTCCGGGAGGATCGGGGTGAGGGACAGAAGAGCCATCCCCAAGTGCCCGGGCCGTCCCGGGAGGGGCGAGGCCAGGGTCGAAAGGTCCGGGGAGGAGGCTCTAGGGGTGCCGGGTTCCAGGGTCCGAACTTGGGGTGTAAAGGTGCCTGGACGTTTTGAAGTTCAGGGTGCGGGGAGGGGCTCGGGAGTCAGGAGAGGGGTCCAGGAGCTCGAGTCCGGAACTAGACGGGTGCGCTGGCGGTTCTGGCCGGTCCCGGCTGTCTGGGGCGGGGTCCCGGGGTCGGTCCCCGCGGGTGGGTCCCTGCGGAACGGTGCAGCCCAAGGCCGCCCCCCAACCCCGCCCTGCCCGGCCCCGCATGCTCCGCCTGGGCCCGCGCAGA